CTGGGTGAAAGGAAGAAAAGTAATTTAGCTGAAAAATAAGACTGTTCCCTTTGGTCTTATGTAAGCAAACAGTGATCATTTGGGACCAATCAAAGCCTGATAAAGAACAATGTTATTCTCAAAATAAGTCATTTTGTTGTTCTGCCTCAACTCCTGATATATGGTTACTAAATCTCTATCCATAGTGATGTTCTGGGCACATCCTAAACAGACAGTGGTTTCATTTGTTCTTTTAATTATGCTTACTAACTTGCAGCTTCCTTAATAATACTCTTCATCTGCCTATTAAAATACTGTGTATTTGGGAGAACCTTTCAATGCAAGTAATTAATCAAGAGCTTTAGGTGGTGCTAACATGTTTAGACCAAATTGTGAAATTAGAAGTTTACTATAATCCATTCTGCAATTTTAAATATTCCAAATTCCTCTTGTAGTAATTCAAAGTATTTAAAAAACAATAAACTGATTTAGATGATTACTACCCCTATTAGCTGATGAACACATTTGAGTAAATAACCCCCAATTTTCAAATTATTACAGTGTGTACATTTATAATGGCAATGCAGATCAAAATTATGTTTTTATTCCAACATATTCTAAATATGCTTTGCAGCCTTTCATGCTGGAAATATAATTCTTTTTTTACTAAAAAAGGGACCAAGGTCCTGCCCAGGTGTCACAGGGATAATATAATAGCTTTCTAATGGTACCCATTGCAGTTTTTTAATTTGATCACACTGAAATACATTTTGGATGGGACCCTGCCATGTCCTGGGCCCAAAATAATTCCTACCACCATTAAAATAGCCCTGTCCTCAAGTCATTTACTGCAGTACACCTGCTATATTGCAAATTGCTCAGAAAGCCCTGTGTCTACAATCACGTTTTTATATAATTAGCAGCCACTGGATAACCTACGCAATCTTGACAAAAAATTGGTTACCCGAAGGCATTAACTACCAGGGGGAGCACCCATTGGTCTAACTGTTGTAACATCCTTGAAATGGAAACAGATGTTTCAGAAGGACAATTTGCTGATCACATCTTTCCTACAGCTCCTATTTCCATTACCAAAAGATACACATGTTAATCACATTAATGCCATTAGTGTGATATTGAGCTTCATCACAAGAACATGTTGAATGCAGTTCTGTCTCTCCTTTTTAGCCCAGGATTGGAACAACAATGTTTGGCAGCCCCATCCCCCCCTACCTGCTTCCTTTAGGTAGGAATCAAGATTTTCAACAATGAAAAATGGGACATATAGCTTAAAACACAGAAGGAGACTGATCGTCCTTTGCTTTCTCAGTTATATCTTTACTATTAAAGGACACAACAGTATTTACTCAAAAGGAAGACTAGGATTTCCCCCAATAGTCTTAGAGTGGCAAAGCAGTCAAAAACATTTTTTTTCCAGACTATCTTTCTGGCAGTAGGGTGGGTAAATATGCTATTTTCCCTTTCCAAACCAACACAGAAGTTTCTGATATTTCTCTTTCTGTATTTGTTCTGAGTCACTTTTAATTATATTTCTCTTTAGAGTCTACAATAAAAATTACTGCATTCAGATAAGTTGATGTGCACTTATCCTGTGAGAATGCCATTATTAACATTATATACCTTTTAAAATATACATCAGAGCTAAACCTTAAATATTTGTTAGTATATCTTATATATAGGCACATGTAAGATCAACACAAGCACATAAGGTAAGTGCTAGATATTATCATTGTCTAATTGATCTCAGGGGAACTTTTCAGATGAGGTATGTTTTTAAATTCTGTCTGAGCAACCAAAACAAAATCCTTCCTCATAACAAGATGAGAGGAGAAAGAAATATTTTCTCCAAGCCTACTATGCCAATTCAGTTCTAAGACACTCTAGTTAAAAAGCTGCTTCCTTTTTTCCCACCCATCAGCTTCTGCTACTCATGTAAGCTACTGCTATCTGGTTCAATAATGGTTTTTCTGAAAGTGAAAAATGTTTGGAGTAATCTGTCCATGAATCACATTGGCAGGTACAAGCAGAGAGAAATGGCACAGTGAATAATAACATGTTTGAGGAAGCTAATTATGGATCTTCAAGACAAGCAGCACTGAAGATGTTCTTACTGTTACACGATTACATAATAGTAATGCTATTTGATCACATTATATACAAAAATAAACACAGCTGCAGAAGTATCTGGAGAATAATTTATATGGATCTCCCCCATCTTCATTGCTTTGGCCTACTTCTAGTGCTACTCTAATTGCGTGCCTGGCTTTGAGGAAGATAGGTTTTTGCCCAACTAGTTTCCCATAAGAAATTATGGCTTTAGCATGGCTAAAATAAACCAGAAGCTAGTATCAATGATCACAGGGACTGCATTCTAACATCACCGTGCCAGGATATTTTAAACTATGGTTGTTGGATAATCCATAGTGGCTTGGTTTGCACATTGTATTAAGCTGTAATGCGCATATCTACTCATCATACTAAATCAAAAACGAAGTGCAGGCAGTCCTTGATCTACCACCATTCGTTCAGCGAAGTTACAGTGGTGCTGAACAAATGGAGTTTATGACCAATCCTTGGAATTCCGGCCATCCCAGCACCCCTTCAGCCATGCGATCGCGATCTAGGCACTTGGCAACTGGTTCAAAATTATGACTGGTTGTAGTGCCCCACAAGCACATGATCAACATCTGCAACCTTCCCTGCTGGCTTCCCCAGAAAATCAATGGGGAATCTGCCAGGGAAGGTTGCAAGTCACTGGGGTAAGTCTCCCCCACCCACATACCCTCCTCCAGTCCCTCTGCGCTTGTGCTCCCTGGCACTTGTGCACCCCTGCACACCCTCCCTGACCTGTGCCACACTCCCATGCAACCTCCCTGCCACCTCATGTACCCCCTTACACCCTTGTGCATCCTGACACTTGCTGTGCCTCTTGTGCACCCCCTCGCATCCTGTTTGACCTGCAGTGTGCCTCTTGTGCACCCCCTCATACCCTCCCTGACCCTCACTGCACCTCTTGTGCCCCCCCGGGCATCCTCCCTGTGCCTCCCCCATGCAGCCCCTTGCTTCTTCCCCCACCTGGCAGCAGCCACTTACCTGCCTGCTGGCCTGGGACTTGCAACTTCTTGTCACCCCACCTTGGTTGTGGGAAGCTGGCAAGAAGTTGCCTCATCTAATGACTGTTGGATTTGGTTAACAGCAACAGGGACTGCAAGTTTGTCATTGTAAGTCAAGGATTACCTGTACTACATTGTGGTTTACACTATACAAAAAACAGGACTCAGAAGCCAAAGCATACCTACTCAATGCCATCTATCCCATTACATACGATAATGCACATATTTTCATTGTGCCAGAATCTTGACTCTACTTCAAGCCCTGCAGAATGCTCTAAGTCTTCAGACGAATCTTATTCACATTTGAGGTTAATCTGTAACCCATATATAATGGAAAACTATGTGATTGTCAGCAATTAAGTGAATGGGATTGTGAAACATTCTTGATGAATTCTTCCCCCCAAGCACTGGGCTAAGATGGGGGTTGATGTTTGGTCTGGCACCTGGGGGGAAGGGTACTTTTGTTTTTAACCATGTTTTTATGGATTATTGTGAGCCACCTAGATTCATTATATGAGATAGGTGGCCACGTAAGTCATGTAAGTGAGTAAGTAAGTAATAATATTTTATCTTTTATAATTAAGTTTAAACAATCAAATTCCCTGCTTAATTTGAAGCATACCAGTTGAAAACAATCTAGAGCAACAACTGTTTAAGGAAAACTAAATTGCATTGTGTAATTCTACTTTTGCAATGCTTATTTTTCAATCCTCCCAAATTAATATTGAGACACAGAAATTTGAGGGTTCCATTCACAAAAGGTAGATACTCATAAGTTGATTTCAGTGATCATGTTTGCTAAACTTCCAACTCTTCAAGACAGCAGAACATATCACAAAATTTAGAGGTTTCACTGGAGATCAGCTATTAAATTGACATGTATTCAGACAGTTCTGCTCACCAACTACTAATGCAACTTCTCATTGCCAGTATTTGGAGCTTTCTGGAAGCAATTTTAAGTCTTACTCTGGCTGCAACAGACTAACACAGCTATCCTTCTAGCTAACTATAGTTGCAAGAACAATTTTATACAAAAATGTACGTCAAGGATCATTGGACAACAAATTCAATTGAGTTCCATGTTTTTCAGCACTGTGCTACTTATGGCCTGCACCAATATTGATATCTGAAATTCCAGGAGACAGGAAAAGGACATATAGGGAATTGCAACACACCCCAGAGCACTTTTGATCAAACTGATCCCCTCTTGTAACTTTCTTTTTTTAGACAGAGACTGCCAATATTTTATTGCAGTTGTGTATAAAATATTCAGCCCAGATGCCATATATTAGATAAAAATATACACTGCTATTAGCAATGCTGGGTCCATTACACTCAGCTTTGGGAAACAGGAACGACTGCTCTGTTTATCAAAAAAGCTACAGCATTAAACAATAAGAATGTCCAGTATAAAGCATGTGTTGTATCTGTGACTGGGGCTAAAGTCCTCTACACACTCAGTTGGGAGAATGCACTGTGGAACAATAGGATCTCGGCATAATAAATATAAATGGACACTATGTTTCAAAATTTGATTATGTAGCATTTTTCATGGATTTACTTTTTAAAAGTATAGCATAGTTCAAAATGTTCCCCGGTATAAAACATCTGCTTTCTATTAGGGATAATTGCCTTAGGCAACAAATTAAAATGCTCCTTAATGTTGTCACTTAGCAGTAAGTTCTTAATAAATCAATGTTTTATTTATACTTCTTAAGGAACTCTCAGCAGCATAGAAGATAATTCCATTGCACTCCATTTAATTACTATATATAACTCCAAATATTTATAACTTAAATTATAACGTACATCAATAACTTCAATTAATATTTTAATTATATTAATCCTTACAGGCAAGGTTATGATATAGGACAATTATTTGCTCATCAATGTAACTTTGGGTCTCAATGGAAAATTCAGACTAGATCTACAAAATCTATAGCGTTTGACATACAATCTCTTACATAAAAGCCAATTCCACAGTACGGTACGTAAAACTCCAAGAATGCCCCCTTTCTAGGAACCCCCCAGATTTGTGACATAGAGAAAGATCATGTGCCAAATACTGTCTAATCAATTCATTGCTCAATTCAATTCTGTGTTCTTAATCAATAGTCTGTACCCATTACTTATGTCATGATAGAATAAGCAATCACATGATAATAAAAAAGTCATAAGCACATTTTAGAAAAGATTTAAAGCATCACATGAGTTTCCAAATTCAAGGGTATTTTATTAGTTACAAAAATATGTTGATTCTATAGGTTTGATCAGCTGACACAAAGAACAAAAGCAAGATACTATAGCTACTTTCATGAATTAAAATATACTTGCAGTGCAATCTTATTTTTGCTTATGCAGAAATAAGTTCACTGAGATGTATATTCATGTTCAATGTTCAAAAATATTCAATGGATAGCAGCCTTTAAATGAGTATAGGGTTGCTACCTGAGGATATCTCATTTTTTGGTTAATTAACACGAAGAACATACTAGGAAGCAATTAATAATAATGAACTTTGTTCTATATATACTTTGGTAAAGATGGACAACATGGAGAAGTTCTAGTTTTCTTTGATGGTTCACCCTAAATCTGTACCTAAATGTGGAATATACTTGCTAGTATTTTAATTCAGTAACATCAGAATAATAGATGTCATTATTTTATGCCTGCAAGACCTTAAACACTACAGCTATAGCCAGTATTTGCAGAACTCTGCTTTCTCCTGAATTAGAACAACAGAAACAATTTTGGCAGCACTGTTGTACCAATAGAAGGACATTTCCAGTGCAAAGTGTCATTCAATGCTACCTTTTAAACATAGTTTGCTTCTGCAAGCTATATTCATTTTATTTCTATTCTGTTTTTCATTCAGGGGTTCAAGGGGCGTACACACTACTCGGTCCTCCCATTTTTCCCCACGACAGCAGTCCTGTGAAGATGGCAAAGACATGAGAATTATTCAGTCAATTTTTGTCATTTTTTTTTCTTCATGTAACAGAGCAAGCCATGGCAGAGCTCTAATAAGTGGAGGTTTCAATTCTTCAACTGCTGTGTTAGTCAATGATTGTCAAGCAGTGAAGTATTTACAACTGTCTGGGCATATTACACAAACACCGCAATGCACACAAATCACTTTTTTTTCAAATTCAAAAACAATTTTATTTAACATTTTGCATTTCAACACATTTAAAATAGCAATGACAGCACTTTACAAATGTTTCTTAAATATTTTTAAGAAAATATTTTGGTCTTCAATTTAAACAATAAATACAGGCACTTCTACATATACAAAGACCGCAGTCGCTGTTTGAGTTGTCAGATATAACACATATGAAGATATGGCAACTAAGAATTTGAGACTTTTAGAACCTATTCCTTTTGAAATAGACTCAATAATGTTAGGGATTTAAAAAAAAATTGGGATCTCAATCACCACCATTTTCATTAGATTGTAAACCAAATCTATAGAAATCTATATGAAATTTCATCAGTCAAGTGGCCTACTACTATTAATATTAAAAATAGCAACTAAGCAAAATCAAATCTAAATCAAATCATACAATGTTGTAGTTTTGATGACAATTAAAAGTTGTCCATTAGCTATGTCTGAAACAAAAAATATTTAGCCTCTCAAATTGCAATTTAAACTAAGTTGTGTAACTTCTCATAGGCATATCATTTGATCTTTTAAATGCACTGTCCCATATTAGAGATGCTTCTACCATCTTTAACTGAAATATTATTTAGTGGAGGGATAAAGAGATTGGAGTTGAAGGTGGGGAACTAAGTTGCAAAAAAACCCCTTTTTAATTATGACATTATTTAACTTATTTATGAAAGTTAAATTGGGAAATAAGAGTCTGAATTAACAGCACAATCTCTACAATTTCTCATCCTAGGAAAGATGGTGGAATCTATTACCATAATGAAATTACAGTATCAGAACAAGAACAATTTATTAAATATAACTGGACTAATCAGTCTTAATCACAACTTCTGAAAGCTTTAATTTTTCAATATTTTAGGCCAGTAGTATAATAAGGATATTTTCATGCCATATCTTCTGATGTGCGCTCTTATGGTTGTAGTCTCACTTTTAGAAGTACTAGACAATCTGTTAATAGCTAATTTTGGTTTACAAAACAAGCCACCAAATGAAGACATTATACTTACCATATAGCCAAAACATTTAAACTGAAATTTGGGAAGAATTTTTGGACACATACATATTTAACAACTTAACTGTGGATCTTGCAGGTTCGTCCAGATTTTAATCATTTCTTGAGGTTTCCGGCTGTGGACTAACATTAGGTTTGTATAGGAGCAAATATTGTCCCTCTGTTTCTCTTCAATGTCAAATGTTTTGAAGCCTTTGTGCTTTTCTGGAGCAAGCCCAAGTTTCTGAAGGCACATTCCAATATACACATCATCAATAGGATAAAGAAGGACTTGGTCAGATATGTTAGTTAATCTTAATGCCAGATCACCAGAATAAAGAAATCCACCACCTCCTGCATATGGAGGATAAGAGCCTTCATAAATACTTTCTGGGATATAGTATTTCAGATTCTTATCACGGTGAGGTCCAGCATCATGAATGACATCACCTATGAACAAGTCTTTGGCTTTTTCTTTAGTTAAACTCTTCAAGTAATCCAGGATCTGATGGGTATTCACAAAAACATCATCATCTCCCTTGAAAATAAACTGGGCATCTGGGCAGGTATTACTGACCCATTTTAGAAATAGTACCTCTTTCAGAGTCAAATTGAAGAAGGTATCTCTGAAGTTCCACAGAAGTATGTCTTGGTGGGTTTCACTCTCAAATTTCAACATCTCTGAGAGGTTGGGATAGTTATCTTCAGGAGGAGTTTGACCTAACAGGAAAACCCTCACAATAGTTATGTCTCCCAATTTAATTTCTCTTCCCCAAGATTCCCGGATTGCCTGCCTTCTATCAAAATGTGGTATGAGTGATTTAATAGCCAGAAGCAAAAAAGGTTTATGTTTGCACTTGTGTGGCTGATCCACTAATAATGAATAATTTCTACATCTTAAATAATGAAAAAAGTCTTTAAACCTATCTGGTAACTTTTCAAAGTCTTTAAGTTCTGAAGATACAAATGGATCAGGATCACAGGAGTTCAAAAAGCTATTATTAGAAGATAACCTTTCTTCCACAGTCATATTGAAAAGTAATGCAAAAATAGGATTGTATAAGCGTTCCAACTTCTGCTGCTGTTTATTCCAATATGCCTTGTGAGGAGTATACTTTCTCCAAAATCTGCTGCTTGGGAGTACAACTTGTCTTTTTGAATTTTTCTCTTGGCCACTATTTTTTGAGACTTCCACAATGACATATATAAAGAAGTTTACCATCATTAGAATTCCCAGCAACTTTAATCTTCTGCGTCCAACAATCATGTCTCATATCTGGAAAACATTTAAATCAGAAAACATGTATTAATATAGCAAGATTTGCATAAATAGTAATATGGTAGAATGAAAAACTTAGCAAATTGAGATCTTATTTTCAACAGAATATGCAATCCAGATACTCCTCGTTTAGCAACTGCCTCATTTAGTGACAGTGTGCAGTTATGACAGTGATGAAAAAGTAACTTTACAACCAATCCCTCCCTGCATTTATGACCTTCACAGGCCTATAAAGCGCAAAAAAAAAAAAAGAAGCTGAAATAATATTATAAGCACAGTGGCGATTTCACTTAGCAACTGCTTCACTTAATGACTGAGTTGCTGGTCCAAATTGTGGTTGCTAAACAAAGACTATCTGTACTACACAAACTGCCTGCAATGACCCAAAAAAAGATGCAAAATAAACAAAAAGTCAGTGGAAGTCTTTGAACAGGAGGAGAATTAACATCACTCAAGACCCTTCACTGCAGAAAACATGCTCACATCTGAAGAAGAGAAAAGCTAGCTACTGAACAATTTTAAGCAGTCTTAAAATATATTTGACCCATCATTTTTCTCTAACTAATAAGGCTTATTATATGCTAAAAACTCTTGGTTATGGAGCAAAAATCAGTTTACATAAAATAATTGCACAGAAATGGTAAACAACACAAATGGACCATCTTTCAGTGCTGAAAGGCTTCACTTGCTTTTTTTCCCCCCTGATTGGAAGCCACAATGAACAGGACAATATCATCAATACTGTGGGTATATATGTAAACCTCAAAAGTATCCAGAAAAACCCTCTCCAAAGAACCCAAATTTTGATCACATGATTGCAGAGGCACTGAAATGGCTGTAACTTCAGGGACTGGTCATAAGTCCCTTTGGCTGGTGTGGTCTTCCGGGCTGTGTGGCCGTGTCCTGGAAGTTTTGTTTCCTAATGT